GTCACAGTTCTATGTCTTAAATTGTCATGCAACTTGTAAAACTCATTAAACTCATAATTGAAAAATTCTAGACCATTGTCGATTCTCAAGGTTTTGATTTTCAATTTGAGTTTTCCAATCTTTAAATGTAGTAAATATTTCATGTTTAGCTTTCAAAAGAAATAACCAAAATTTTCTTGAAAAATCATCAATAATAAGAAAGTAATACTTGTAACTAGACAATGTAGGGATGGATGCAAGGCCCCACAAATCAGCACGTCAGTATTCTAGAATTTGCTTTGATTTATGAGTACTAGTGGAAAATGCAACTTAACTTGCTTTCTAATCAAACATTGTTCACATTTAGACAAATCACCAATATTTGATTTTCCAAATACACATTTATTTTGTAAAGCCTTTAAATCCTTTTCACCAATGTGACCAAGTCTACAATGCCACAATTTTGCAAGATTAAAATTATCATCTAAAACTGCTGCTGAAAGGCCCAACAAATGTTTTGCATTTAAAAAATATAAGGGAAAATTTCATAACTAAGAAATTAATTATGGCACATTTCAAAAACAAGAAACAAGTTTCAAATTTCAAAAATCGGATTTTTATTAAAAATTATTTATAATTTAATTAATTAATTAATTTAGTAATTTAATATATTTAAGTCATAGATTTATATAATCTGGTCACAAATTAACGATTTAATTAATCACTTATTATTTTACGGTTACAATTTAAAAATTTTATAGGTCACAATTTGTTCATTGGTCACAAATCGAAAATTTATACGTTACAATTTATTTATAGATCACAGATCTTAAATACTATATGTCACAAATTATTAATTTTTTAAGTCACAAATTAATGATTTAATTCATCACTAATTAATTTTTGATCACAAATCAGAAATTTTATGTCACAAATTATTTTACGGTCACAATTCAAAAAATTTATAGGTCATAGTTTGTTCATTGGTCACAAATCGAAAATTTATACGTTACAATTTATTTATACGTCATAGATCTTAAATACTATAGGTCACAAATTATTAAATTTTTAGGTCACAAATTAACGATTTAATTCATCACTTATTATTTTTTGGTTACAAATCGAAATTTTATATCACAAATTATTTTACGATCACAATTCAAAAATTTTACAGGTCACAGTTTGTTCATTGGTCAGAAATCAAAAATATATACGTTATAATTTATTTATAGGTCACAGATCATAAATACTATATGTCACAAATTATTAATTTTTTAGGTCAAAATTTATTTTATTGGTCACGTATTATTTATTAGTCACATATTAACCAATTTAATGATCACAATTAACAAATTAATCGGTGACCACCACCAAACAATCACCCTCCAACACTGTTGCCGGTACTACCATCACCCTACATCAAACACCACGATGTCCACCACCACCGCCACCATCAGAACCACAACACCACCATATCTAATGTTACCTCCGCCATCGTTGGATCTAGCAAAGCCACCGCACCGAACAAAAAAATCCCAACCCCGATTCAGCCATCGCCACCACTACATTTCTTCCAATCGCCTTATGCGCTGCTCGTGACGGCAACGAGAGAGGTAGACAGACTGTGTTTGGGTTTCTGCAACCTCACGTCACCATCGTTGCGATCTGCGCGATCTGAATCGCATCTACACCATGCCTACTCAGTGTGCAGATCTTCGACGTCAGATGCCGACTTCCTCGATGGAACCGCAACAACGCAGTCTCACCGCTCCTCTGTACTTCGTCCGTAGAAACGCGGCGATGTGCCTCATTACTCGCAGAGCCGCCATCTACAACATGGACTCCGCAGCCTTCAACAACAGCAGCGCCATCTTTCTGCACGCCGATGCTCCCTCAGTGATGCACGGGATGAGGGGATAGAGGAAGGCCGCCGTTGTGGGGGAGAAATGTAGAGAGAGAGATGAGAATGGGGAGAGGCTACTGTCGTGGGATAACGGTAGAGAAAGAGAAATTGGGTTTGGGTTAGGAGAAATTTTTATTTTATAAAAATATTAATTAAAATATTTTTTTATAAAATAAAAAATCTGATTTTTGATATGTTAAACATTCCTTCTAATTTTAGAAATCAGGATTTTAATACTAGGGATTTCGGTAATTTTCACAAAATATAAACCATGTCTCTTTGGGATAGAAGTGATCAAATCACTACCCCTAAAGATTTTTATGTGTCCTTAGCCCAATTTTAAGTCAGACTCCATGTCATCCAACATTCCTAAAGACACAAGGTTTCTCTCTAATTCAGGAACAAATCTGACCTATTTTAACAATAAAATTCTACCATTTTCTAAGAGCAATTTTATGGTTTCAATATCTTTAAATTTGCAGGACATGTTGTTTCCCACGATAACTTGGCCCCCTTTAGTTTGTTCAAAGTCCAAAAAATAGTTTTTATTAGGGCACATGTGGAAAGAACAACCTGAATCAAGAATCCATTCTTGATTTAGGTTCTTTTCAACATTTACGAGAATCAGGCCGTTATCAAATTTTTGCTTATCATAGGACAAAACGGCATTACCCTCATTTAATTTCTTTCCTTTCAAATCATTTTGCTTTTTGTAGTAATCTTTTACAAAGTGACCCAACTTACCACAGTAATAACATTTAATTCCATTTGCCTTAGTTTTGGATTTCATTTTGTCATTATTTCTTTTCTTAGGGTTATTTTGAAATTTTGAATGAAAATTAGATTTACCAACATTTTTTACTTTTATCAAAAGATTTTCTCCCCTTTGTTGGTTGATAGAATCTGATTTTAATTCAAGAACCCTATTTCTTCAGGCATTTATAATGATTTATGCAGTAAGCTTGTCTCTTCCATATTCTAAGGCATTTTTAAGATCTTTATGCCTATCACTAATGGAGTTTAACAAGACCACAGCCAATTGATCTTCTGATAATTTCTCATCACAGTTGGCAAGGTTCTGGGTCAATTTTGTAAATCTGTCCAAGTTCTCATCTAAGTCAACAGAAGGATCTATTTTGAAAGAAAAGAATTGTTTTAGTAAAAAATATTTGTTTGGAACAGTTTTTGGCTCATATTGAACTTTCAATTTAGTCCATAACTCTTCAGCAGTTTTAGTTTCACTCACATTGTCTGAAAGGTACAAGAAAATAGTGCTCCATGCTATTTCTTCTAACTCAGTTCTTTTTGCAATAGATATTTCAGCAGGCCAAGTATTGACTTTAGCACATTTTATTTGCATCAAGATAGCCCTCATTTTCTGGCTCCACATATTAAAGTCCCTCTCCCATTATACATGCTCACTTCAAACTTAGCAGGAGCCATGACAAGATTCACCAAGATAGTTCACAGAACACAAGTTTAAGTTCAAGAACACACAGGGACATACAACAAGAATACTGCATGCAGAACAGAAGATTTGGGGTCAGTATCCAGTGCACATATATTATTTTCACAAAACAGTAAACACTTAACATTAAGTATAGAAGGCAGAATCACAAAGAACAGAGATGGCAATCCTATGCCTCAACTAATTTCTCCAGTAAGACCTTTCAATTGCACTCCTACTTGTGTTGTTATCTCAGATTCCCAAGACTTCTTGAGTCTTTGGACAAAGACCAGCCACAGTAGGTTTTGTTAGTGCAAGGTAAATCAAGGGAAAAATTCGGAGACCCTACTGTAAAGATTAATTACAGAATGCAGGAAAGATCTCACCAATGAGTTTGATAAAACTCAATTTCCACAGGTCAATGTTTACTGGAGGTTTTATGAATCAGGTTTAATCAAGAAATCACAAAGCTCCAGTAGTCCAAGTTGCTCTGAAACTACTGAAAAATCAAGAGATACTAATATTAACCAAGATTCTAAAACCACAATCATAAACTAAAAATAAAAATGAACGTGGAGAATTTTTCGGTCGAAGCCCCAGAGGTTCGACGACCACTTCTAATGCTTAATCCCCCGTTGAGCATATCCATTAAAATGGATAAAACTCGATTGCAGTATAAAGCCCCAAAAATAGGCAGCAATAATGTTCCAAAATATTACAAAGTAATAAGCCACAAAGACTTATCTTATGAAGAACACCAAAAAACCGGCCACTATTCATACTAGAACCGGCCAAGATCACAAAGATCTCACAAGCAACTAAATTGCCCTCTCTCAAATAACAAATGCGTGTGCTTCTTTCACAGCAAACAACATTCCACCAAGGAACAAAACAAACCAGCTACTATTCAACACATGAAGAGGCTGAGATCACTAAGATCTCACAAGAAATCGAGGCAAAACTCGAATCCCACAAGTTCGACTCATCAAAAAATTGAAATAGAACAATAACCATATGGATTTACAATATTTATTGATGTTAACAGATTCTTCTTTTAGAAAATACTCCAAGAATTAAGCCCTAATCTCACTAAGTAGAAGAGGCTTTTCGCAAAGAGGAGAGAGATAAAGGGGCCGAATATGAGAGTAGTGAGAGAAGAGAGAGTCACTTTTTCTTTTTGGAGAGTGAGACGTGAGAGAGAGAGAAACTTGAAAGTTGGAAGAAAAGTCTTTCACTCATTAAGTGTGAATCTTTGCCCAAAGATCTCATGGTTAAGAAGATGGAAGAGTCTAGAATTGGATCCAATGGTCAGGAAATAAACACGCGTCACAATCCAGTTGTAGAGCTCCATTAATAAGGTGTTATTCCAGAAACACGTTTTTTTTTTCTTTTCTAATTTTGGAACACTTTCTCAACAAACTTGCCTGTGGGTTTTTGGAAGTCAATGCATACTGGAGGTTAAAATATCTACGTTTATGTTAAAGAGATAAACATTGCAGCAACTGATCATAAAGATAAACTTCTTTCTCCAAAGTCCTAACTCTACATGACTTCATCTTGTTAGCTAGTTTATCCTTTGTAACCAACGTGTAAATCCCTTTATGTGTATGTAAATCTTCTCATGTAATTGTAACTAACTGATGCTATAAATACAAGGTAATATATGTTGTTTTTCTGTGTGACCAAATCAGTGTTATTTTTATATTTTTTTCATGGTATCAGAGCCTTCCCAAGCTCACGCTTATTGTGCTTCTATGGCTACTACTGGTTCTACATCTTCTTTCGCTGCTTTTCATCTACCTGAGCAGGTTATTTCCATCAAGCTTGATGGGACAAATTACCTTGCCTAGAGTGCCCAACTTCTGCCAATTTTTCGAAGCTATGGCTTGATGGGAATTGTTGATGGTTCTAATTCCTGTCCTCCTCAATTTACCAGTGATGATCAAAAAGCTCTGGGTGTTCTTAATCCTGCCTATGTGGTTTGGCAATATAAGGACCAAACAGTGCTTGGCTGGATAATTTCATCTTTATCTCCTTCGGTGGTCTCCACTATTTATGGTCTTAAGACCTCTCAGCTTGCTTAGCAAGCCCTTAGCTCACGTTTTGCTACTCCATCCACATCTCGAATTTCTCTCATCAAAACAAAGCTTCAGTCCATTCAGCATGGATCCTTTTCATGTCAAGAGTTTTTTTACTGAAGTGAAGAACCTTTCCGATGAATTGTTCGCAGTTGGCAAACATGTGGAAGATTCAGACTTGGTTCTTTCTGTCCTCAACAGGCTCAACTCCTCCTTTCATTCCTTTATGACCACCTATATGCTTATCTCCAGAAAGAAGATGTCTTTCTCAGATTTTCAAGCTGAGTTGCTCAATTTTGATCTCATGCAAAAATTTCACAATCAATCCATTCAACCTGAGACTGGTTCCTATGCGTTGTACTCTAACAAGTCTCAGTCTAAGCCTCACCCTAACAAGACTTGAACCTCAGCTCCTTCGAAAATCCAAGTGCAATGATCCTTATCTAAATTTCGACACCCACTGCCTCACTTGCCCTCTTCCTCAGTATAGTCCCCAAAGCAATCTATGAACAATCGCCTAAAATCTCCATGTCAAATCTGTAAAAAGGGGGATCATCAAGCACTTGACTGCTTCAACCACATAAACTATGCCTTTCAGGGACGTCATCCTTCTACTGAATTGGCTTCCATGGTTGCTGAGGCTAATACCACTTATTTATCTCAACATTAAGGTATGCTGATAGTGGTGCCAACAAATATGTCACCTCTGACATTGCTAATCTTGCTACCTCGCAGCCCTATGAAGGCCATGACTCCGTGGGTGTAGGTAATGGGATAGGTTTGATCATCTCACACACTGACAATGCTTCCATACAAACATCTCTTTCTACTCTTGCTTTAAAAGATGTTGCCTGTTGTCCTCAATCTTCTGCTCATCTTTTGTCCATAAATAAATTTTGTCGTGACGATAATGTTATGTTTGAACTTATTGGTTCAAATTTTACTGTGAAGGACATCTCGACAAGGGTCACGCTTTTGACAGGGCCGAGTGAAAATGGATTGTACTCGATCAACCTGCGTCAACTCTCATCTTCCAAGCTACATGCTCTGACCATGATTGTCAATGTTAAGGCTTCAAGCTCCACTTGACATTGTGGCCTAGGGCATCCCTTCTTTCCAACTCTTAGCCGTGTCATTTCTAGTTTTTCTCTTCCTGTTAGTGACTCCCTTAGTAAAGAGTCAATTTGTGTGTCTTGTCAGTTAGGAAAGTCTAAGCAGTTGCCTTTCTCCAATTATTTATGAGAAAGTTTTGCTCCTATAGAGTCGATTCATTTTGATGTATGGACCACATCCACTCAATCTTTAAGTGGCTGTCGATATTGTGTTATTTTTATTGATTTTGGAATGCTCTATAAAGCTGGACCAATTGTTCTCAATGCTTATTGTGACTCTGATTGGGCTAGGGACCCGAATGATCGTCGTTCAACATATGGACATGGAGTGTATGTTAGCCACAACTTGATTTCTTTGTCAGCAAAGAAACAACCTGCGGTTTCTAAGTCCAATACAGAGGCAGAGTATTGCTACCTAGCCTTGATCATAGCTGAAGTTTACTGGATGCGCATGCTGTGGTATGAGTTGCAGATTTCTCTTGATTTTCCTCATACAGTGTGGTGTGACATTGTGAGTGCTCTTTTCTAGCATCGAATCCCATTTTTCATGCCCAATCCAAGCATATTGAAGTGGATTACCACTTTTTGCATGAAAAGGTGGCCAAGAAGGAAATAATTATTGAGCACTTATCTACTAACATGCAACTTGCCGATATTTTCACTAAGGAACCTACAACAGATAGATTTTGCTATCTTCGTGACAAACTTTTCGTCTGTGATTTGCCTATCAATTTGCAATGGGTTGTTAAAGAGATAAACATTGCAGCAATTGATGATAAAGATAAACATCTTTCTCCAAAGTCCTAACTCTACATGACTTCATCTTGTTAGCTAGCTTTATCCTCTGTAACCAACGTGTGATTCCCTTTATGCGTGTGTAAATCTTCTTATGTAATTGTAACTAACTGATGCTAAAAATATAAGGCAACATATGCTGTTCTTCTGTGTGACCAAATCAGTGTCATTTTTATATTTTTTCAATTTATGGGCTCATTTTACATATTTATTGTTTAATTTTAAAATACAACTAAAATTGAAGAACACAAAATAGATGATGATGATGATGATGATTATAATAAATAATATGCGGGTCAAGTTTGGACTAAGATCATGTTACCCGTCTTGTCTAGATTCCCCATGCAATGACGCAATGCATGGTGGGATTGAACAATTTTGCCATCTCCATTGCCATGTAGCAAACCATTAAGCGTGGACAAAACATTGCTAAGCTCATCAAATCACACAATGTCAGCAAATAAAAAAACTCTAGAGCCCCAAAGCCCGAATATTCAACACTCCTTTCACTTTACTATTTGTTCACGCTCAATCTCCTTGCTATATTACATTGTAAATAGTAAACAAAAGCATTGCTATCTCACTTTTAAATACTAAGTATATATGTTGATGCCCTTTTTTCAATGGTTATGTAGACTACGAATGTCGAGTTCACTCGCATTCACATAAGTAAATTTCAACATGTTTTGATTGGTGATCCAGGCGGAAAATGGAGAGCGTTTATAAACGTGGGAGATGCTTTATGACGCTAGACAAAAATGTTCAAACATTTACAATATAATCAAAGATAATTGCATATAAACAAACCATCGTAAATAACCAAAATGGAAACAAACTAAGCTCAAGCAAATGAATATGAAAATAAACAAGGAGATTGAGCACGATTTTAAGAAAGAGAGGAGGTTGAGTATGGTTTTTTTTAAGTATATATATATATATATACACATATATATATACATTCAAAACAAATGTTACAAGAGTTGCTTATTTATAGAGTCTCAACCAAGGTGGTTGCTGTTTGATAGAAACCACGTGACCTCATCTCCCAAGTCAAAGTCTCACATAACTCAATTTGCAACGCATTTAATACATTGACAACGAGTCGACCACTCTATATCCTAGATTGACAATCTGACATTCATTATTGCAAACGTTACATCAATCATTCCTAAAGATTACCTGCAAATCCTTTAAGAAATAGCACATGCTTCAGCCAAATAAAGCTTCGCGTGGAGAGAGGGCTTCAGCCAAAGGGAGCTTCGACCAAAAGTGTGAGGACCTTTGAGGCAAAGAGCATCAACTTCTTTTTTAACTTCACTTATTTTCTAATTAATTGTTTATCTAGCAAGATTTGACTCACGTCCACACTCCACGTCATAGCGTGGTCTTTAACTGGACCCTCAGTGGCGAGACGTAATAATATACATCAATTTTTTTAAAAGACGATTTTTTTTTTTTTTTTAGTGTTCCAATTCTAAAGAAAGAATATTACTCGATCTCCAAATCAAGTTGGCACTTGTTTCATCATGATTAAGCTTTTCGAGTTTATTGATTTCGAGATATCCCCCATCCAATCCACACCCCTCTTCGAGTTGATCCGTGTACCTATGTAATTGTATTCATCAAGAATGGAGTTAAAGAAGTATATTCCCGTGTAGGCGACTCAATCCCATTGAATTAATCCCATATCTCGACTTAGCTATTATCTATTTATAAACTGATTCAAATCATTGATTGCTTTTGTTTCAGAACATAATGCAAGATTACACAATGCCCTCTAACCATGAATAACCACAAGTTAAAAGAAGTTCATGTTATAATTTAAAAGCGAATAATCATTATTATCCAAAGCAATTATTGACAAAAATAGAAAAAGGAAAGAAAAATATACATCCGATTTTATAATTCACTTTCAATACAAGAGGTGCCACCACAAACTATAGCACACAACAGGCTTGCTCTAATACCCCTCCCTCATATAAAATAAAAAGGTATTAGAACGACCTAATACATGCTTCTCAAAGTACACACATCAAGGCCTAGGATATATGCGTACAATATATTAAGCTCCAACCTATTAAAGCTTCTTATTTTGGGTATCCAATGTGCATTCAATTCTCTTGTCAACTCATGCATCAGTTACTCAATAGACTTGTAGATTGCAAGTGAAAGGGAGAGGAAATCAAGCTTACAAGGAGCTCCTTAAAAATATAAAATGTCACGATGTACAAAAGCATATGGTCGGAACAAGAACAATCAATTGCCAATAAATTTAACGATTGTGCTACATGTGCCATCATAATTTACAAATTTGTGACGAGATTTGATTAAATCAAAATTTCACCAACCAACTAAAAAAATAATGATTGACTATGTGTACATAATAGTTCAGGCACGCATAATGTGGTGAAGTATGATTGGATCAGAATTTATTTGACCCAAAAAAAAAAAAAAAAATACACCCTTCCCTCTTTTTAACACTTCGTACGTACGTAAACCATATAACTCCATTATGTACAAGCAGCAATATTCAAAATATAAAATTCCCCCACTTCATTTTTTGCCACCTCACCAATCTATAAATGGTGAGGTACAACAAACATTTTCCTAAATCTGAATTCAGCCACATTATCCCTTTTACACACTCTGCTCTGGTTATTGCTAGGTGGGTTGAAAGATCTAAAGCCACTATATGCTTGTAGACAATGTGAAAACGTTGAGATAAAACCTCAATTCTCAGACCAATGTTCTAAAATTCAGCTTTCATCACTTCATTAGTAAATTTCAAAGCAAGAAATAAAAATAATTCAAAATGGCTTTCTTCAGAGAATGCTTTCACTGCAAAAAACTGGAAATGCTCCAAAATGGATGTACTAAGATTGAACCCGTGTATACAAACAGGTAGCAAGATTGAGAATCAACAGCAAAAGAATGAGATGGGGGAAATTTGGAACACAATATTTGATAGGACTGGACAATACAATAGACAAGATTTCTTTTCCCCCTTAATAACAATAAAGTACTGTTGGGTAACATTTAACAAGGAGTAGTTACAGCAGCCAAGCATCTATGGGGAGATCAGTAGGACCCTAGAAAGAAAATAAGAAGTTTATTAATGAATGTAAAGGAGAACTATGTTTGACCTCTGTCCTTTCGACATCTTTGTTTCTGTCCTAACACATTGACCACCAGAAGTTATCAAAAGGACTTTGTAATAACTAACAATGTCTCACATCGATAACTTAAGGCTTGGCTTGTAGACTTAGTTACTTAATCACCCTTATGGAAATAACACTCATTGTGAACAGAGCAACATGAGGGGGCTACTTTGACCAGTTCAGTGAAGTCATATACTTGGGAATATAGACCACTGTTGGCACTGATTCTAAAACGATGGGCAGAATGCAATGATCCTATCTAATTATGTCTGCCCAAGTTATGACTTGGCTTGTGGGCTTGTAATCATCTAGGAACCTAACCCTTACCAGTCCATTTTATGGAAGAGTTCTACCCAATCCCAATGTTTTATTTGTCACTGTAACAGGCTGACAATGCTTGCCTACACTCACCCATAGAAACCAACTCATCATAGACCTCAAAGCAACCTCTATAAGTCAAAATCTCTATGCAAGCAATAGCAAAAACTATTGAACAATTTATTGGCAGTAGTTAGAAGCTTCAATAGAGAACTTCATTTGTCTCCAGGCTTGCAACTCAATCACAAAACTATTCGTAAGGACAAATAGTCGTAAATCATTTTGACAAGCAAAACCCATAATTACTATCTTCATTTGTAATACAACTCAGAGTACAGGTTCAAAATCTTCAAGCATTAACAGCCTTACATTTATCTCAAACGCTTTAAAAGTTACCAAAACCTAGGGAGAACAAGTCCTTGAAATATGGCATTACTACAAAGCTACCGGTGCACAATTCAAAGAAATATTTAATATACATTCAAGATGGCTAGACAATTCTAGTGGGGCTTGAACTAGAATAATACGACTTTAAGTATACTGAAGATCATGTTGCAAACAAGCGTGCTATGCTTCATAAGATTCAAGCAAGCAATTCTCAAACTTCACGAGCCAAATACATGAATTACAACATCATAACAGTCAAACTTCTACCAATATCTCTATAAGAACTACAGCTCAATAGTTCAATTCTAACGAAAAGCATCAAAATAAGATGGGACTGTTAGTCAAACATCTTGTGTCATGGACAAGGTTACATGAAAAGTATCCAACAAATGTAAAATATTAGAAGCTTTTAAGTTAACAAAACAATCTAACTACGAGAAACTAAGCCTGTTTCCACTAAATTTAGGGTTGGCCAGATCTCCACTACGTTCGATACAACTTCGCAACATTAGCTCAAATTATAATCAACTGTGATAGTCAATTGATCATCCATCACATAACATTAAAAACCTGATAATAGATATTTACTTGCAGCTAATCAAGCACCAACCATCTAGACTAAAGAAAATCATAGAAGATTAAAATCAATGTACCTCAAAATAACACCATTATAAGCCAGTACTCTTGCGCTTCAACATCATAATCAACTGGAGAAATCTTCACGTCTTTTAGCCAAACGAAAACGAAAAATTCTCAAAATTCCATTTTTCATTTCCAAAATATTCACTCTTCCTCATCACTCTCATCACTAAAATATCCTTTCTTCTTCTCTCTCTTCTCCTTCTTTATCTCCTCTGTTTCTCTTTCACTTCTCAACAGTCTCTCCTCCGCCCCTTCACCATCCACTACCGAAGCCCAATTTTCCGCCTCAAAAACATCCTCCTCCCCTTCATCATCCCATTCATAATTTCTCCCACCAGTTCCACCACCGGAACCCCTCCCTTTCTTGGCCACGGGACGTTCCCTCGCCCCCAAGAAATTCCTCGGACACTCATACGATAAATGCCCCTCCTCACCGCACTCATAACACCTACTCTTATCCTTGTATACCTTCTTCCTAATAAACTCCGAAGCACGGCCATTATCCGTGGCAATGGAGGCGCGCAGTGTCCTCCCATTAAGGACTTTTTTGTCAATTCCTTTAACGGCCTTTATCGCATCATCGCGCGAGACGAAGAGGATAAAGGCCACTCCGCGGCTCTGGCGCGTGGAGCGGTCCTTGAGGACGGTGGCTTTCGCGACTTTGCCGAAAGTGGAGAATATTGTGAAGAGATCAGAGTTTGTAAGGTTGTAGTCTAAATTGCTGACGTAGACTGTCGATTTTGATGGGGCTAGGCCGCCGCTGCCTCCACCGCCACGTGAGGGTTTCGCGCCAGAGGAAGAGGTTAGTTGTGAGGCGGCGGTGGATGCAGTGGTGGCGTAACGGTAGTAGAAGGTTTCATCTTCTTCATCGTCACTGTAGTTCCGCCTCTGAGACATGTTTATGTGTGAATTAAAGCAATTTCTCGATTGTTCTTCATTGACCTGTCGAGAGAGAGTGTTAAATAATTTTGTCAAAAACCGTGTCTTGTTAAGTAATTGTTTTTATATTATTTTGACATGGACAATGCTACTTGTATATCAACGCAATGAATTACACCTAGGGCCGAACAAAATTTAACCAGACCGTTCAACCCGATCAACCCAAACCAATCTGATCAATTGGGTTGGGTTGGATTTCAAGTTATGATTTAAAATCAAACTCAACCCGATAAATTAAGAAAATTAATATCTAAGATAAAAAATAAACACTAGTAAAAATACGAGAATGACTTATAATTTATAAACGTTCATTTTTATTACATATATTGATTAACATGAACACTATGTACAAATGAAATGTTATTTAATAAAAAAAATAAAAATTAGAAACATGATGATGAAATGAATAAATCTCAAAAAATTGTTAAAAAAAAATCATAAATTTTAAACTTATTTATACATTATTTTTCAAAAAAAAAAATCCTTATATAGGTATTTGAAAAAAGCAAAGATTTCAAGTAATTTCAAACTTTAAAAATTTATCCAAATTCAAAAAAAATAAAAATAAAAAAAATCGAATCCAACTTTAATTGGGATGAGTCCAAACCGATCAACCCAACCCAAAGTTGATCGAGTTGGGTTATAATCAAACCGACCATGTTTAGGGATGGCAGTGGGCCAAGCCGAGTCAGCTCGGCTCATTAACCCACGAGCTCGGCTCGTTGCTCGTGGGCGAGCTCGGCTCGACCCACGAGCTCGTGTACTCACGAGCCACGAGTTCGTGGGCCTAGTCGAGCCGAGCCGAGCCCACGAGTGGCTCGCAAGCTCATGAATATTTTTTATTTATTTATTTTTTTTTTTGCAAAATTTTTCAAATTTTATTGATAAAATTTATTTTTTTTCGCATTTTTGGACGAGTTGCTCAGCGAGCTCGACGAGCCGAGCAGCCCACGAGCTGAGCTTTGGCGAGCCAGCTTGGTCCAATTGACATCCCTAACCATGTTAGGTTGAGAAAAAAATTGACCCAATCCAACTCATGCCCACCCCTAATTAGACTCCTCTCATATGGAAGAGGGGCTTACGAATATTTTACTGTATGTGAGCCCTCTTCATATAAGGGGGTAATGCTATGTATACACTAACATTGTCCATTTTGATATAAATTTTAGTATAATATTTAACTTTTTTATTTCATTTGCAGTTAATGAATCTGTATAAATGATAGGGGTACAAGTATACTTTATTGTTGAGTTTAACCAAAGAAGGTAAATATACATGCTGTTATGTAAGGAATGGTGAAAAAATAAAGATATTCTTGATGTTCCAAGTAGCATTTCGTAAATAGTGTTGTACAACAAAATGCAAGAACCAGTTAACGTGAATTAAAGGTCATATGAAATTGACATGATGTCTCTTAACTCTAGAATGTGTAAGTTTTTCAACTCCACCACAAAGGATTAACTGTAACATGAAAGTAAAATGATTTCTTTCTATCAGTAAAGAACATTTTCTTTATGGGACTATTTTCAACCGAAGTTGTAGATGAGTGTGATAGTGTAAGGGAGTTTGAAAGAGATGGTGGAGTAAAAACTAATGGTGAACTAGAAAAAGGAAA